AAAGTAAATATTTAACCATTTCCCTGATGTATAGATGACACAGTCGTGTTGGTTAAAATTTTACATTTATCTTGTTTAAAATATTTTCTATCTTATGGTAGTTAATATGAATACAGATGCATATATTTACAACAATTTATATGAACATGTTTATGTATAAATACATTCTTTGCCCCTTGAAAGTATTTCTATAGATTGAGAGTGTTATATCAAAGAAAATGTAAGTGCCCAAATTAGTTGTTATTATCAAATTGCCTTCCAAAACTCTTGTACTTCTTTACAAACTATCTAAAAACCAGCATTGTCCAGTAGAAATTTGGTGATGATGAAAATGTTATTATTGTCCAATACTATCGTCACCTAGCCTCCTGATATTGAACACCTAAATGTGATTAAGTAAATGAATTTTATACTTTAAAATTTGTTTAATTTAAATTTAAATAGCCACATGTAGCCAGTAGCTTTTGTATTAAACAGATAGAGAAGACCCCTAATCCTCCAGCATTTCCAGCAGTATATAATATCTGACTCTTTAACCCAGATTCACATTACAAAAAGAAAGTAACTCGTTATTTTAATTAGAATTCTCTGATTAATAGTGAGGTTGAGCATACTTAGTAGCTGAAAGCCAATCTACTTTTTTTACTCTTAAATTTGTCTTTTCATATTCTTTACCCTACCTTCTACTGCATGGTTTGCTCTGCTTATAGGAACTATTTATAAAATACGTGTATGTTCTGCCAATCTTCTTGTTACTAATTGCTTTTTTCTTTTTTATTGTTGGGGAATCATTGAGGGTACAAAGAACTAGGTTACATTGCTTATATTCATTAGGTCAAGTCCCTCTTATAACTGTGTCCCACCCCAAGAGTGTGTCACACACCATGACCCCCATCGCCTCTCCCTCCGCTCTCCTTTTCCTCCACCCCTCACCATGTATTAGCATCCATGTCCTCATATCAGAATTGAGCATATTGGATTCTTGCTTCTACATTCTTGTGATGCTTTACTAGGAAGCATGTTTTTCAAATCCATCCAGGATTAACACAAAAAGATGTAAAGTCACCATCCGTACTCCATGATATACATATACCACAGTTTGTTAATCCATTCCTGGATTTGTGGGCATTTAGATTGTTTTCACAATTCGGCAATTGCAAATTGAGCTGCGATGAACAGTCTAGTGCAAATGTCTTTAAGATAAAATGAATTTTTTTCTTCTGGGTACGTGCCCAGTAATGGGATTGCAGGATCAAATGTGAGGTCAAGTTTGAGTTCTTTGAGAATTCTCCATATTTCCTTCCAAAAGGTTGTATTAGTTTGCAGTCCCACCAGCAGTGTAAAAGTGTTCCCTTCTCTCCACATGCACACCAGTATCTGCAGCATTGAGACTTTGTGATATGGGACATTCTCAACTGGGGTTGGGTGATATCTCAGGGTGGTTTTGATTAGCGTTTCTCTGATAATTAGTGATGATGAGAATTTTTTCACAGGTTTGTTAGCCATTCATCTGTCTTCTTTAAAGAAGGTTCTATTCATCTCACTTGCCCATTGATATAAGGGATTGTTGGCTCTTTTATGTTGACTGATTTGAGTCCTCTGTAGATCCTAGTCGTCAAGCTTTTGTCCAATTGCTAATATGCAAATATCTTTTCCCATTCTGATGGTGGTCTCTTTACTTTGGTTGTTGTCTCCTTAGCTGAACAGAAGCTTTTCAGTGTAATTAAGTACCATTTTTTTCTTTATGAAATCATAACCGTGTACATTAATGTATTTATGAGATACAATGTGCTGATTTGATATACAACGTGGAATGTTTACATCTAACTGATTACCATAACCATCTCTTTGCCTACTCACTTGTTGTGGTAAGACATTCATATTCTATTCTTAATAGATTAGAAATGTATCCTTGCATTATGCACATTAGGTTAGGTCCCATCAAATACCCTCCCTCCTCCTGGCCTTCCCCCTCCCCTCCCCTCTCCTTCCTTTTCCCTCCTTCTTTTTGGGTTATAGTTATGTTTTACCATTCCTATGAATGTGTAGGTGATTATATACTGATTTCATAGTGGCATTGAATACACTGGATACATTTTTTTCCATTTTTGAGGTACTTTACTAAGAAGAATATGTTCCAGCTCCATCCAGGTAAACATAAAAGATATGAAGTCTCCATCTTTTTATGGTTGCATAGTATTCCATGGTGTACACATACCACAATTTGTTGATCCATTCATGGGTCAATGGGCACTTACACTTCTTCCATGACTTGGCAATTATGAATTGGGTGGCAATAAACATTCTGGTGCGAATGTCTTTGTTGTAAAATGATTTTTTATCATCTGGGTAAATACCTAATAGAGGGATTGCAGGATCAAATGGTAGGTCCACTATCAATTCCTTGAGTTTTCTCCAAACTTTTTTCCAAAAATGCTGTATTAGCTTGCATTCCCACCAGCAGTGTAAAAGTGTTCCCTTCTCACTGCATGCATGCCAACATCTGGAGTTTTGGGATTATTTTATGTGGGCTAATCTTACTGAAGTTAGATAATATCTCAAAGTGATTTTGATTTGCATTTCTCTTATGATTAAAGATGATGAGCATTTTTTCATGAGTCTGTAGGCCATGTGCCTGTGTTCTTCAGAGAAGTTTCTGTTCAAATCTCTTGTCCACATAAAAATGAGGTTATTTGTTCTTTTCTTCTTGATTAATTTGAACTGTCTATGGATTCTAGTTATCAGACTTTTGTGAGAAGCATAACCTGCAAATACCTTTTCCGATTCTGAAGGCTGTCTGTTTGCTTTATTTACTGTGCTCTTGGTTGTGCAGAAGCTTTTTAGTTTGATCAAATCCCAGTAATATAATTTTGGTGTTGCTTCAATTGCTGGGAGGTGGGAGTCCTTCTCATAAAAAATTCTCCTAGCCCAATTTTTCAAGCATTTTCCCTGCCCTCTCTTCTAATATTTTATAGTTTATAGTTTCATATCTTAAGTTTAGATCTTTTATCCAGTGAGAATCAATCTTTGTTAATGGTGAGAAATGAGGGTCCAGTTTCATTCTTCTACAGGTTGCCAGCTTGTTCACCTAGCACCATTTGTTAAATAGGGAATCTTTCCCCCAATGAATGTTTTTGATAGGTTTGTCAAAGATCAAATGACTATAAGTGGCTGCATTCATCTCTTGGTTCTCTATTCTGTTCTAAAATCTACCTGTCTGTTTTTGTGCCAGTACCAGGCTGTTTGGATCACTATAGCTTTATAGTATACCCTGAAGTCTGGTAATGTGATACCTCCTAATCTGTTTTTATTTCTGAGTAATGTATTTGCTATTTGAGTTTTTTTATGGTTCCATATGAAACAAAGCACTATTTTGTCAAGCTCTTTAAAGTATGATGATGGTGCTTTAATAGGGATTGCATTAAATCTGTAGATTGCTTTGGGTAGTATGGACATTTAACAATGTTGACTCTTCCCAACAATGACGATGGTATGTTTTTCCGTTTGTTAACATTCAGATGTAAAGCCATCTGGTCCTGGACTTTTCTTTTTAGGGAGATTTCATATTGTTGATGCTATTTCAATGGTTTATATAGGTCTATGCAAAATTTCTAATTCTTTGA